GACACCACCCGGAGTCTAACCTCGGTGTATAGACGGATAAGGCCAAGTTCTGACCCCGGACTGCCAAAACCCGAGGTGGATGATACTTGAGACCTGCGGATAATTTATTCTAAATTACAAAGCTGGAATTGCCGGCGGTCTGCGAGAAGTGAAAAAGCATGTATGTATGTACATCCGTGTGCAGATTTGTGCTTGTATTTATCAGTAAACAATAATTAAAATATGTAAATGCAAAATATTATGATAAGAAGAATACTTATAATATAATACATAATACAATAAAATAAATGGGATTGTCACAACTACGGCAGTAAAAAAGGAAATATACTACTGACAGGGTGTTAATGACATTTTAGGTCTGGATTTTTTTTTCACCGCATCCGCATGGTCGAGTCCTTTGTGCGGAGGCGCCCACCCAAATATTCACGATATCTCAGTTAATTTAACGTTTACAGGTCCCAACAATTTAATACCGGGATGAAATGTCCGTCGGATATTGCGACATCTTGATAAGAAAAGATGAAATAATTTCTGGAACGATTTTTAAACTAGAAAAACCCAAACGTAAACAAGCATGATTTTGCCAGAGTTATAAACAATTAAGAACCTAATATTATTTTATTATCTTTCATTGGCATGAAACATTTGCATACCATTTCGTTACATAAAAACATTCAATGGTTTCATTCACGGTTATTCAAATTTAATGTCGGTTGATTTAATTGCCAAGAAACTTTTTAGGTCATAGAACCCAAACTTTTTTTTTATATTACGCAGGAACGTTGGAAACTTCAGCCATTCATTTCCTTGCAGCCCAATTCAATAATGCTCTCCCACTGTATTCATCATTTGTTGAAACGCTTCTGACATCTTCCAGAGCAGAGCACGTTTCGAGTGTAGTGCAGACATTTCCTCTCCGGTGTTGTACAGCGCGCAGTCTGACTGCTGGAAAATCCCAATCCTTGCACAGATATTTCGCAAGGTAGTCGTGGCCAGTTGTTAACCGGAAACAGGCCACAACTTGTTCTCTAGGGAGGTTTGAAGGCAGTGGCCAATTTGTATCTCTTAGAGATTCCCATTGCTTTCCCTCCGCCTTTGTTCTGTCACCTCCTTCATTTCATCATGGAATCATAGTCCTTATGATTAATTAAATTACTTTTAGCATCTCCATAATTAAGGGGCATATGTGGTTGGTGCGTTAGAGATCCTTCCTTGGCAAGACTGTCCGCCTTTTCGTTTCCATGTATATAGAACTCCAACACAGCGACTATATTGTGTCTTTTTATTACATTCACGTAGCAAATTGGGAAACAAATCGTACCCACGAACGTCGGTTGGAGCTGGTGAAATTTGATCAAACATTTCATTATGCGAGGTCCTGGGTAAAAAAACAAACATATTTTTTATAGCAGTGAAACCTTTAAAAGGTAAGTCTTCCCATAAAAGTTTTTTTCTTCTTGCCCTCCTGGTAATTTAAAGGGAAAACAAAAGGAACAGAAAAATAACCAATTTTATATAACTACTCAGAAATCGTGAGATGCAGTCTGGAGTAATAGTACGATTTCTGAGTAATTATCGATTAACGGTCACTAATCACCACACATTTTATATAACAAACTATATTAAAAAATTGAATTTACCGGTGTCAGAGGTAAAAATAAAGTAAAAATTACATTTGTTTGAGTTGTGTGCGTGTTTCTCTGTGCGCAGAGTGGAGGATTCCTCTTGTTTTAGGCAGACAGACGGACCGGGTCAATCTGGATAATTCTAACTGGTTCGTGTTTATCCTTTATCTGTAGTAGAACTGGTTTGGGTACCGTAACCAAAAACTCTTTGGATTATGTCTCCAGTACGCTCCAGAACGGACTTAAAATCCATTTACCCAAAAATTAATCCCTATAAGGCGTCTCAGAGAGGAAATGGCTTCGAGACCTCCTTCCTAAGGAGTAGGTAGTGAAGTTTCATTAGTGAAGTGAAGTGGGAGAATAAAAATGATTACTCCCCTCAATGTAAATATTTATAAATATATCTATGTATCATCAAATACATGTTTTAATCAGAAATAGCAGATTTTAATGAAATATTGAAATTTAAAAATAAAACTTCTGAAAACACTGCCTGGAATATCATAAAACGCTTTGAAATCATTTCTTACTCTTACACAACGCAAGTAGTGCATCGAGTGGTTGACAATATACGTTTTCCCTTAAACAAAAGCAACATTGCTTCGGTGTCTTTTTTGATTTAGGACAGGCATTCTTTCGAGTCTGGCTCTCAGCATTTTTTGGAAACTAAAGAACATCTTTCCTCAGGTTATCTTATACTGAAATCATACCTGATGGACAGATTTAGCGGGGTCCGTCAGGAAACTGCATTTTCACCTTATGTACACATTAGGGGCGGTGCTCCTCAGGGAACCATTCTCGGCTTATTTCTTTTTTCAATAGACACTGCATATTCCCGTACATGTTAACTTTCAATACCTTCGCTAATGATACAGCGATTCTCACACGTAATTACCCCTCTATAAATACTTGGCAACCTAACTAAAAGCTCATAGGTAAATTTTATTTTGCATAAAAGTATATCTGTCCTCCAGTGAGCATCCCCCCATTAATCTTGTGCATTATCTTGGACCTTTCGTCCATAAACGACTGACTTGAAAACTCCAAAAAGTCGACATGGAAAACAATTTTTTAATTTATAAGACAACGATATGCTCTCTCTGGGCGTACGGTTGTGAAATGTGGGACACAATCAAGGATGCCGATTCGCAACGTCTCCAAACATAGTTTACAGATCTTCACACTGTACTACAAAACACTTTTTTCTCCTTCATTTAGCCAATTCTCGGTGGTGTCACTCAGGAAGCGAACTCGCTACCTCTTCTAAACAATTTGAACTGATCCTACCTACTCACCCAAACATTTTCATTTTTACCTTTACCGATGACACATTAATGCTCACCTCCGATAAAGATCCCATTTCAGCTTCACGTAATTTATAAAATCACTTACACATATTTGAATCCTGGCTCAACCAATGGAGAGTTGTATTTGACGAATGCTCAAACGTAAAAATTTATATACATACTGCTAAAAAGACTATTAGACACACGATCGTGTGTAAACGTAATTAACACACACAAAAAAAGCTGCCTTGCTAGCCCTTAATCCAATCTTATTAGGCTACAAACTCTACAATCTAAGATTCCTTGGACAATAGATAATGCTCTCTTCTATGTCTCTAACCAAACCATACTGCCTTAAAAATCCTATTCGTATCTCTCCTGACCCAATTCCAATTAAAAAAATGTTCATTCCAAATTACCCGATCACTCAAACCCGTTAATCCGAAAATTGTCATCAACAACATGGACCACCAATCTTCATAGTGATCTTCATTTGTCGCCGAGAATCCAATCCGATTACACGACATTTGAAAAAATGGCAAAAAGGAGGGAAAATTCAAAAGGTGGGGTTAGTGCCCGAGGTGATCGAGGTCACGATAGCTCAAGTGGTAGAGCAGCGGCGTATCTAGCCGAAGATCGTGGGTTCGAATCCCGCTCGTGCCATTGACTTTTTTATCTCAACTAAAAACCTTAATTAATTATAATATATTAATTGGTCAAGCGGACCACGAAATTAGTGAACTTCATAGTGATGTTGGCCGACAACTTGTCTAACAGCAAGAGATATTTGCCAAGCGATTTCGTCCTGTTTATAAACTAATGGGACCATCACTCACCGTTCATGCATTAAATGTCCTTTTGTGTGTCCGTGCATACATATGTACTTTGTGTGCATGTGCACACAATATGCGCGTTGTTTCAACATTTTTACTTGTTGCATATTTGAAATGAGTCGTAAATAAATAAATGAATTTAAAATATACTAATCATAACCTTCTGTACATGACCTAATCAAAACGCTGTATAAAAATTTCATCTATCACTTAGCCTTCACAATAATCTCCTAGTACAACTGTTACCAACTCCAGCCATATCAAAAATTCTCCAAGATGATTGAACCAAATGTGATCACGAAACCTTTTCAGTGATAACTAATTATGAGGTTTCAGTGTGAAGCAGTTGTCTCTGGGCAATTTTTACAAGTGACTCAAACGACATAATTTACATTTAAAAAATATTTACTTAATATATAGTTATAAATAATATATAAAAGTAAAAAAAAACACTTTCACAATCGTAATACTAAGAAAAACATTTGCTTCAAACCAGCCAATGTAGAGGAAGTACAAAGTAAATGATATGCAGCCTTAAGTAAATATTAAAGCGACTGATTAAGTCAATTGCGGACGATGGATTAGAGAAGATTACGTACAATCCGTTTTCCACCTCTGCCTCTCAACACTATATCAAAGGATTACATTAAAATAACGGCCCCTTAGAGTTAATATAGAGAAAATTAATTTCACACTTAGATTATACTAACAATTCTCAGCTTCAAAGTTCTATTTTTCCATTCACTTACCCGTTAGGTAGTGGAGAGGCGCTATGGATTTCGCCTGGTACCGACTAAGTACGACTTTTATCGTACCTATTCATACAAAGGAATTTAATCAGTTGGGATGAAATTTCAGGCCTGATCTAAACGCACGTAGTCGCACGCGTCGATTCCAGTGAAAGACGGATGATTACATTCCCTAGGCTGAGAAAATTTGTGCGCAATTTACGCAGGAAAAAAAAAAGTAGGTGTCCAATTGGAGTAGCCGTGAATATCTGGCTTTAGGTTGAGTTATATTGAAGACAATTTAAAAGTTCATCTCTTGTCTCCTGTACTTAGTCGACTATTTTCTAGGTCAAAAAAGTTATTGAACGCAATTTCAGCACACGATCGAATTAGAATTTAGTTTAAAACATAAAGAACTGTCTGAATGAATGGCATTAACAATTTTCCCATGCTTTGTCATAAATTTTCTAAACATCTAAACAAACCAGGCAGACATCTATTTGAATGTATATTTTGTATGAGACTTACTGTACAACTTACTGAAGGCCGAATAAAACTCGTTGACAGATAAAAGACCGTCTTGATCCGAATCGTCGTAACGAAGCATATCGCTCAATGTACATCCATCGGATAGGGTGTTCAAGTGCTCTTGATCAGAAATCTGAAAGAAACAGGTTTTTTAGAGGAAAAAAAACATTCGCATATTTAAAAACATTTAACATACCTTTTGCAATTCGTCTTTATCGAGGTGATCGTCCCGGTTTAAGTCGTAGTAGGTAAACATGGTGCTAACGAGGTACTCTTTACCCGTCCTCACCCTCTCTTCACTCGTACTTTTGGATTGTTTCAAAAGATTGTCCTTTGAAGAAATTATTTGTTTTTGTTAAAAACTGGGCATAAACGGTAAAAATTATAAGAGATAACAATAATAATGAAATTTTATTACAAGATTAAAACAGAAAATAATGAATCTTAAAGTAATGGCTGAGTTCGTTGTAAGAGAAAACAAAAACAAATATAAAGAAATAGAATCAATATTAATACTAAGTAAGGTTTTTAGTTGAGATAAAAAGTCGATTACATGACATTTGAAAAATGGCAAAAAGGAGGGAAAATTCAAAAGATGGGGTTGAGATGGGTTGAGTTAGTGTCCGAGTAGATCGAGGTCACGATATCTCAATTGGTAGAGCAGCGGCGTATCTAGCCAAAGGTCGTGGGTTCGAATCCCGCTTGTGACACTGACTTTTTTATCTCAATTAAAAACTTTAATCAACTGGTCAAGCGGGCCACGAAACCTAGTGAATTAATGCATTAATATATGTCTTTATTTTTTAAATTAGTATTTTTTAAAAATCCATATAGGCACACAAGTAATAAAGCGGGATTATTTTAAAGCAAAAAATGTTGCAAAACTCTTTTATATCTGCCAACCACACAAATCTTATTCCCCGGGCACGTAGGGAATAATTAATTAAAGGACGGACATTTCCAGTTAAAAATGAGAGAATTTTTTCCCTTGACAGTATTTTCTTGGCTCTCTCACCTCCCAGAGTTGTGTTCATCACGCCTAAGAAGCGATAAGAGTCTTTGGGAATATAAAATTCCAAAGCGATCACAATTCAACATTAGAGACCGTCTCTAGCCGTTGTTTATAAATTAAATAGAGTAAGCCGCACTGGAGTTTGAGAAACAATTTTATCTCTAACGGATTAAGATTTCCTTGTTCAACAGTTTGTGATGAGCTTTAAATTTTGTCAGAACTATCTTACATAATCAACTGCTGATTCATAAAGATCATTTATTCACACGTAAGCACATACAAACCTATAACTTGTCGGTAAAACCAACGTTTTTGCAGTATCACCGGAAGGGTGGTGGGTCATTTCGGGCTTTGGCAGGCCGGTGTCAGACCTCGGTCTTAACCGTCCCGCTTCAAAGTTAGGCTCCAGGAGCTGTCAACAGCTATGCCATTCAAGTACCTAACGCATCAGTCTTTGAATCTAAAACATCTCACACTATCACTCACTCTTAAATACATTCTTTTTATTTACAAATCACTCCTTCGATTATCTTAAACATATCATATAACTGTTCTAATTAAGTTCCGTTTGAATACATAATATTCCATCAAATATGCTCTCAGCACACAATCACGTTAATAAATATATCCACTCTCAATATACAACAAGGAAATACAAATCGAGATATCTACCAGTACAATGTATCTACATACAATAAAACAGCCCATTTTGCTACAAAATCAAAACAGGGGATACAGCAAGTGCCGTGCTCAAGTACAATTCTAATATAGGGCACCTTTCAATTAAGTGGGACTCATCGAGTAACTTTTTTTTACAAGCCGGACATATACGCGGGATTTGGCCGAAAAGTAAGTGTCTGCGTGTCAAACTCACATGGCCTAACTTATTCGGGTGAGGATATTCCTCTTCTACGATTCAGATGATCTGAGGGTCACCTATTGATAGCCCTTGATACGTATCCACTCAGGAGAGCCATAGCCCATTTAATGTAGAACGACGGTGACAATGGGTGGTATAGTGTGGCCAAGGCGGGGGTGAAATCTGAAAAGGCGAGCCTCGTGACCTCGGTCACTTCCCTTTCTCAATCCAGATCCTTCGGCATACTTCCTTGAGACCTCTCCTAACCATTGGATGCAAGGGCACACAAAATGCTGTAGCCTTGGGAGCGTGGCAACCTTTCTAAAGCACAAGCTGGATTCGGCCTCCGGGTCGGCAGCGGACGGAGGGTGCTTTATCAGAGGGACACGAAGGTTAGGGTACGAGATCCTGTCTGCATAGACGGGGAGGGTGCATAACCATCTGAACTAGGGTGTGCTGGCGGGACGACCCAGGATAATGCATTTCAGCCACCTGAGGTTACCCTTTGCCGTGCGGCAGACGGTCTGGTGCTTAATGCAGCCCCATCCACTCGGAATGGACAAGCGGAGAGTGAGGGCCGTCTCGGTCCCGAGGGGCCGGGGCGGCTTCAACTCCAAAACTTGCGGCTGTAACACTGGAGGTGAGTCATCTCTCATCTTGAGAGCCAAAACGTCCGGTAGGGGCGAAAAGGCTCCCATGTCCTTTTAAGGGCTCTGATTATATACGGGAAGCACCTGATGATGCGTGAGAACTTCTGTGCCAATTCCCCTCCGACGCTGACATTTTTTGGTATGTCGGGGGTTTGATGAAGGGTTGGAGGGAGTTAGAGAGAGGGATGGAGAAAGAGAGAGAGGGAGAGAGAGAGAGAGAGAGAGAGAGAGAGAGAGAGAGAGTAAGAGAGGGAGAGAATGGAGAGAGGAGGAGAGTTTCAAGTACACCATGGATATTCCAAACGATTTGTTTTTCAATATAAAGAATATGTTAAATGGCAACGATGAGGCATATTTAAAAAAAAACTTTACTGCTTGGTCTTTTTAGAGAGATAAAAGGAATTTAAAATAATAATCTGCTTAAATTAAAAATGAAAAATCACTAAAACATTAGCTAAAATGAAGATGAAAATTGTCTCTTTTATCTTGGTACACTCAATCCCTGTATTTTTGTTTAAACTATGTATTGACATTTCATTTAGGTAATAAGTATGATCACAGTCCTATCAGTCCCAAAAGGTCAGACACGGTTAGAAATACGAATTAGTTATAAATACAAATTAAATTATAGTGCTATAGGAAATGAAATTACTGTTAGATTTTGAACTTGAGTAATAATGTCTGAGTTCAATGTTCAGTTTATAATGCGGGTGGTTTAATTTACCTTCATAATGTCGTATCTCTGTAAAGAACATTCTGGTGTTTTGTCCTCGTTACCGTCATCATCCGTCAAGATATCCATTTCAGGGGGAGGAGTTTTCGCCGTAGACGCTTCCGTAGAGGACATCTCGACTGCCGACCTCTCTGTTATTTCATCTAAAATGGAAGATAGGATGTTCTTCAAAAGGAAACGCACGCCCAGTAACTACTTGGATACCTTTTTGAAGGCACGTGAAAGAATGGTCTACGGCTATCCTTTCGCCCTGGAGACACGACGCCCTGTGCAAGGAGCAGTGGTTTTCGTAGAGTTTGCCGTCAGAGCCGCAAACCGGACTTTTGTGGTGTGGGCAGTCGTCGACACAAACGCACCTCGCCACTCCAGACCTCACACGGCATTCCTGACCTTTGGCGCAGTATTTCACCAGGCAGGGATCTATAAAATGGAAAGTTAATATTTAGTCCGGAGAAAAAGGGAAAAAGGAAGGATGAAATGTGACAATTACTTTGTTCTGTGATTGATGATGGATTTGTTTCATCGTAGTCGACGTTGAGTGGCCCGTCTGTACTGACTGTACCCCTTCCAATATTTTCATCTCCATCTTTTAAACTTTTGGACCACTGAAAAACCACCAACTTTGATTTAGTTTAAAGTTATTGTGTTTTCAATAAATATTTTAGTCATATAAATTTCGTATGATTCCCACAGCAAATTTTTTTTTGACTTTTAAACTTTACTTTAAAAACTGAATAACCGATAGAATAAAATTTGTTTTGATCTTTGAAAGAACATTAAAAAAATTTGTAAAAGTTACCATGAAACGTGCTTGTTGCGATGGTGCGACCAGTGTCAAGAGTAGAGATAACCACAGAAACTCCATCGGGCACTGTAACCAAAACATCAATACAATGATTTAATTTTTATGAGAAATTTTTCAATTTTCGTGAATAAATGTTTTATACAAACAAATAAATTAATTAATCTTAACCTTAATTAATCTTATTCTTAATTATTCTTAAATCGGTACTTGGTTTTGTTATAATCCCGAATAGAATTAGTAAAATAAAAAGATTCATTAAAGACTTAAGATTAAAAAGGCTTAGACAAAGAATAATATTTACTATTTCTTTATAACTATGTGATTTATTATTTTTGACATAATAGTATAAATCAACTCAATTCATTTTGGCCTAATTTATCATCTTATGGGATGATATATGGCTGTTAGTTTAGACTATTTTTCATTAAATACAGTGCTATAATAGTGGCAACAAGGAAAGGCTTACATATAATCCACCCGAATGAGGCAATAATCATGTGTTCTCATTCCATGTCCAGTGTGTATGTTCAGCGTTCAGTATGACTCCAACCGCAACATCAGCAAACTTTCGAACTACCCCCCTACCTGTATCAAATATTTCACCTCTAGCCCATTCACTATTGAATCATAGAACGTAATCTTACCATTTCACTACTGTTGTCAAAATTCGGTAAAACGTCGACTCAAAGAATATCTAGTTTGAGCGGCGTGCATCGTCAAACAGTCAGCTCATAAATTTGTACTCGCAAATTTTGCTAAAATTACGCTGCTGAATGTACTCTTTGTCTGACCTCATCTCAGCACGTTTCTGACAACTAAAAGAACTAGAGGAAAATATAATAAAAGTAACATTTTTCTGGAACCCAGGAATATGCGGATAATAAAAAAGCCGACAAATTTGCCAAGGAAGCTACTCTGACGATCCTATTGGCACCGAAACCCTCATCAGCTTTGTTAAAAACTCTCAAAGGGGCGTTGATGGCCGCAAAGGTTAAGGGGTTGATACGGCGCTCATCACTGCTTTTTTTTTCAAAAAGATCGACTCCCTGAGGTTTGATATGACCTCTGCCGTCCCCTCTTCCCGTGAATAAACAATTCATTTATTTATGTGAGGGTTGACAACACACTCTCGATAGCGCGAAAAATACAAAAATGCTTGGTGTGTGTTCTCCAAAGCAAAAACCTTATTGGGAGAGGCAATAAAAATTGACCCGGGAGAGCTGTTGGTGTACGGTTTTAATGTCATTAAGAACACTCCGGGAGATGATATGTCACTTGTATTTTCTTTCAGGCTAAATTTTTATTACCTATATTTTTCATGTTTAGCCTGCAGTTCGGTCTTACACTGGATTTTCCAGGTATCATGAACCATCTCAACAACTCCCTAATTCAAATCAGACACAAAACAATTTATTTAATTCTACGTCAACGCTTTAGATAGTTGTTTAGGCGTTCTTAGAAATATAAATTTTGTTAGTTTAGGTATACGATAAAGGGAACAAGAGAACAAGTTTGAGTATCTGCTTTGTCCTGGGAGAAGGCGAAGTTAGGAAGGGGCTAATTAAGTTCATACCTCCGTTTGTTCTGGAACATCCAATTCTGAAGAAGGCCTTCTTTTTTTCCCGTGCATCTAAACTGTGTGGTAGAACTTTTTATGAAAACGTTAGAAAGAATCTTAAGTTATATTAATGACTTAAGTTTTAAATATTTATAGTTAATTACTTCTTGATATTGAGCGAAAATTGTAATAATAATGTATTTATTACGTAGATTCGTAAACGTTTGTAAATAAACCTACTCTATGTAAGATGTATTTTACTTTTTTTCCTTTTTAGATGGCCCTGCTGAATTTTTCTTGAACAGATAACATAATCGAAAAACAAAAAATTAAGAATTTAACGTGTTTTAGTCTATTAAAGCTGAGGTGATGTATCGACATATTGTTGAACAACTTGGAAAAAAGTATCTTCGATGAGGACACAACAGAACGACAATTCTTTAAATTTTTGCCGAGCTTTCAACGATTATATCGGCATCATCAGGGTTTTAACTCGATGAGTGTTGAAATATATCTTGAGAACAAAAAACTGCATTTATGATAAGATTATTTAAAATTAGGTGAAGCGCAGTATCTCGGCTAAAATATAAATTTAAGTACACGCCTCTTTTTTTAAAAATTAATTTTTTTGTCAGGTACATTATAAGATAAGTTCGACTCACAGTTAAGATTAATTAAGCCTTTTTTAAATTGTACAATATATAGATAACTTAAATTAAAGTGCTATCTTCTAACACAAAGGAGAGACATGAGGCTCAGGTGGCTTTTCCGTTACAAGTCATGTACATTCTTGTACACTACACGTAGTAGTTTAGAATCAATATAGTAAGTTTTCCGACATTAAATTTTTTTTCAAGGTTCTGGCAACTGAAACGTTTGTTTTACCAAGTTTTACAAATTTAGTAATTATAAGTAAGTATTACATCTTATTCCAAATTTAACGTAGTTTTCAAAGGTATCAACGGATTTGTCTGAAAAGTTTTAGTTTTGGAATTATTGTTTATTTGAAGCAAGGTCGTGAAATCATAAAAAATTCTCTTTTAAAAAACTGTTGAGATTCGGGCCATAGATAATTAGGACTTTTTGGTTCTATTTTGAATGTAGTCTCCTGGGAAACTAAAGCAGGCCAATTCTTGCCGTTAAGGTATTGAAACATTTTCTTCCTTGAGTTTTTTTTTTATCATTGACAATTTTGTGCAAATGGCAATAAAATGGTATTACAGAATATATTATGGAATACCAGATTAAATTCGTTTAAGATTTCTTAATAAGTTTCTTGAAAGTGTAGTGATATGTGCGTTTAGACTTGTTTTGCCTTTCAAGATAAAATAGAATACAGTTTTCTCCCCCTTCGTAACTTTTTCGTCAGTTCTTTTGCGTTATCAAGGTAGCACAGGCAAACTTTCTAAACCTACTCCACTCCCTCACGCCGTAAACCATATATCGTAGCTTTACAAGCCTAAACCTTTGCCCGCCTCAGCTTATAAATGGGAAACCTTAAGGATTTATTTTGTTACGTTCTCGTGTAAACGTGTAGTACAAAACACAATCCTAAAATAATTTTAAATCGTCTCCCCTTCCCACATGTTATATTCCGAGTTCACTCATCACCAAAATCATGGAATGGGAAAATTAAACTTTATTTAATATTTTTAGTGTGTCTTATTCTTTTACAACCAGTCAGCATTAAATAAAACAAATCTTATAAACTTTTTTTATTTATGTATAACATATATGATTCGTAATGACAACAGGGAACAACAGTCGAGTTACTGTTCAATTAACGGAGAAAGCTTGAAGGGCAAGTTTTAAGAGGCATTTCTAAAGGTGGCTTGCGGCTTGGCCGGAAATTCGGAAGACAAAGATCCTTACTAATTTGGATTAATTAATTTCAAATTGCCGGAACGGTATTTAACTTACAGAACAACCTCCTCTTCGTGGTCCGATATTGCTTCTTAAGGATCGTTAGGGTTATCTCTTTTTAAGCAGTTGCTAACTCGATCCCTGTAATGCCCTTTTCATGTACTATTCAAACGGATTTCTAACAAAACAAAAGAGCAAATCGTCGCCAACTCGGGTTAGAATTGTAGATAGGTCTATGTGGTAAAAAGTGAATTTTAACGAAACACGAATATCGAAGTGTATTTTTAATGGTAAAAGAAAGCATAACCAAAATTATTTATGATTCCGTTTTTGGGCGGATCAACCCGTTTGAATTGGTATTAGGATTTAATATGAGAATAACAAAGCCACTGCCACTAATAGTGATGCTGATTCTAAATGAATCTTATTAATAGCGAGAGAAGCTATTTTTTTAAACTATTGAATACGCAAAACTATTTTTGTGTGTAAGGTTAATAATTGTACATTCTAATGTAGTGAAATATGGAACCTCATGTTTTGATAATACTGCTTATTATATCCATTATATGTAGTGATGTGATTGACTAAATCACTTCTTTCAATTAATTAACCTTTTTATGGAAGGTTTTGGTTGAGATGAAAACGTTAATGTCACGAGCGGGATTCGAACCTACGATCTTTGGCTCAATACGCCGCTTCTCTAACGACTTGAGCTATCGTGACTTCGATCCTCTCGGACACCAACTCGCTGCTAACTGCTGTTAACTGCTTATTAGTTGAATTTTTATGAAATGAAATTTTAAATGATACTTTTATATGTTTTATAGTATATAAAGAGTAAATCCGACTCCACGGACGATCCTCTGATCAAGGTCTGTAACATTATTTTTCATTTTATTTGGGGATCGAGAGGTGCGGTCTGGTGTGACGTAGGTTTTAGAAAAACATTTTCTTTATCATGCCAACGTTTCGATCTTTATTGAGATCATCTTCAGGGCCTGGGATTTAGGTATAAACATTTTTTAAATTTTATAAATACAAGTAGGATGTGGAAAAAATATGATTTTATACAATGGTAAACAATTTTAGATAAACAAAAAATGAATTTATATAATGCAAGAAAATTTTAGATTAAAAAATTTAATTAATTAAAGATTTAAATTTAAAATAATCTACAATTTTCTAGCATTGTATAAGTTCATATTTTTTCCACATCCTACTTGTATTTATAAAATTTAAACAATGTTTGTAAATCCCAGGCCCTGAAGATGATCTCAATAAAGATCGAAACGTTGGCACGATAAAGAAAATGTTTTTCTGAAACCTACGTCACTCCAGGCCGCATCTCACGATCTCCAAATAATCATTGGCTAACGGTCACTAAATTCTTCGTTTTGTGAAAACTTTTTTTTGTGTTTGTTTGTTAATAAAAAAAAGACATATTAATAATAATAATACATTTATGTTTAGTGGCCTAATTGACCAAAATACTTATTTCAATTATATTCTTTTTTTTTGGTCGAGATGAAATGAATAATTAATTAAAATTTATAATAATGTTGAATTCATATGATTGAAGGTTTAAATATCAAGCTAAACTGATAACTATTATTAATTTTTTTAAAAAATAATATTGAATTCGCTA